TTGCACTTAGTTCGCATTTTAGTTTTCGTAAGAAAATAGTTCGCCGTGCTCGTGATTAAAATGAATCAAGTTGTTGGTCTTTCATTGAAATTTAAGGAATTTAAATTCGCCAAATTTTATAAGACGAAATATTGGCTTATCGAACTTGTAAAAAACTTTGAATTTAAATTAAATTCAGTTTCTGAACGGATTTTACCACTTCGACTGAAACGCCTGGGCGAAAAGTGTGCATTAAAATTATTCTGATTCTGAATCAAACGTGGTAGTTTTTTCGTGATATAAAACTGATATTGTAGTCGGACGATATTTTCTGTGCAAATCTATTAAATGTTCCATCTCTGAAGTATATCGGTAAATAAATCTGTAAAAATATAGTTTAAAATATGAGTCAAATACATGGCTTTAAACGAGCAGTACAATTTTTCGTCACCTCCACTGGTAGTGTCAACGATACTTCTCTTGATCCTCCAAGACGCATCGACCTCGTATTGAAATTCTTGCCAGAAGGCGAAAGGGTCTATGCATAAATTAGCGGAGCGCTCGAGGAAGATACGCAAGTCTCTTCCAATCGTTGGATTGAAGTCTACAGTGCCAATAGAAGCTTTATTTGAGATCACCTTGTCACGCGAAATTATTCAGCCAATTTCCAAGACTCTATTTCCAGCCTAAACTCAATCTGAAAATAGAAAACTTATCCATGTTAGAGGTGATATTTTACCAGGCAGAAATTTTGAACATATGTTTCAGACCCGGTGGTGCAAAATGTTTGCATTAAACGAAACCGATTGAAAAACTTTGGAACTAATGATTACAATTTTCACCACCTTGTACATCACTGCTTGGCATTGCATGAAATTTTATCGCGTTTTTCGCATGACTGGGCTAAATTTGGTTAGTCATTATTGGAATAAAGTCGTGAACCTTCTCATCCAATAAATTTTATCAAAAAATTATATAAAATATATATCGTTCATAATCAAAATTGCATACATAAGAAAAAAATAACTCAGTACTCACCGCAGTGAGTGACAGAGAGCGCATTTTCTCGTCGACGAAAACGTGAAGTCACGGACGGACGTTTTCACAATAGTGAAATGCACAATAGTGCATTTTTTCCATAAATGAGAAAATGCACTAAAAAAGTATGCCAGTAGAAAATTGCTCTCTTCATACGATCAGTAGAAAAGAATTCTTCTGTGGGAGAGCAAAAAAGTCCAAGTTCTTCTATATTCGTACGTTAGGAGGTCACAGGCATCGAGTATCGGCGTCTTTTGTGCAGCAATGAAGTATTCAGGAAAAGATCTTCCACCCTCACAGCGGCTCTCATCAGGCGAAGTGTTGTGCCGCCGTCCTCGCCAGGCTGGGCTCGCGCTATCGGCTATTGAGTTTCGTCCAAGACCCTGATGGCAGACGCTCGGCCTCTGGGCATTGATGGAAAAATCGGAGGCATGGGCAGAAGGTTGACTCTGGCACAACCGTGCTTCAAAATTTGATAGAGTTTAGGGTGGCTCAGCAATGGTTGGGAAATATCAATCGGTGAAATGAAATTGGTTCTGAAGTTTGCTCAGAGCGATTGATAAAATTCGTTTAGTCTGGGCAACATGGTTATTGGATTAGATAAGAGAAAATTATTATAGGTATAGATTTACAAGATGAAAAAACAGGCACAAGATTTTCTACTTTAGCTTTCAAACACTTCTGCAGCTGTAGGAGTAAGGATTGCTCCTTTTACTAAGTCCTGTGCATTTCCATAAATTAGAATCTTTTTCGCACGTATTCCTGACAAGCTTTTATCACTGACTGACTTTAATTTTCAAGTGGGTAAAATGTGTCTCATTAATTGAAGTGATTCGCGGCACTAAAACTAATCAGATAGACTTGCTGTAAGCACATCAGTGATTTTAAACCAGGGTTATAGTTACATTTTTGCAAAACCGTGATTTTAGCAGGTGTCTGCACCGGTTACGAGCGAATTCTTCCAAGTAAATGTTTTCTTCAGTTCAGTCTTATTAGAACAGTCTCAATGACAGACCAGAAGGTGACAGTCTTCATGTATTTTTGTTTCTTTCTCATTTTTTTTAAACGCATGCTTAATTGCTAGTTTCATACTGATTGGTACTTTCGTAGATTATATGCATCACAGTCAATCTAGTTTTTATGTTTCTTCCATTAGTAATATTTTGATGTTATCGTCGTAGTTCTAATGGAAGAATTTTAGACAAAAAATAACTAGATATTCCTGTTTACAACAATCATTTTTTCGAAGCATGGTGATATTAAACGAACTTTGTGCATAAGGATTATTTTTTGGGTTTAGACTTCTAAAATTAAATGTTGATAAAACGCTTGTGTATTATGCGGATGGTCACTAAAGGCTAACGGATTTCCTATAGTTGGCCATGTAAAACGCTAACCGACTACAACTGAGATAAACACAATTATGAAACTAAAGAAACACTAGTATCTAAACACTAGTATCAAAACACTAGTATCTAACACTAGTATTTAGACACTAGTATCTAAGTACTAGCAATAAATTCATTTCCCTGCTGTGCTTATATTATAGTTGAATTTCGCTATGCCTCGGTACCATTTAGAATTTCTTTCTTCAAAAATGTTTACTATGCTTCATATTTGATTAATCTTAAGACTGAATTTGATTAATCTTAAGACTGAAACAAGAACCAACACCAGGAGCCACAGCTATAAACTAAAAAAACTACGTTGCAACTTCTCCACGCGACAAAATTTCTTCTCGCTTCGAATCACCGACATGTGGAACAGCCTCCCCGATGACATCGTTGGCGCTCCAAGTATGAACGCGTTCAAGAACAGACTAGATAAAGCTATGGAAAAATATATGTTCAGATTTGAAATGCCTAGCATCATATCGAACCCGGTGGAAGTCGAGTAGCTATTTCAAACTTTCGTCAGTCGTGAAAAGATACGGTCAAGTGACACGATTTTAGATCTTCTGTGAACAAGGCACAAAAAGGAAAAGAATCGGCGACAGGCCACATCAGGCCTACATGTCAGCGCCGAGATCACTATGTTATGTTATGTTATGACACAGCTCTCTCACCTGAAAATTTCAGAAGTCGTATCTATACTAGGTGCCTCTCGAGCATATTTTTTCATCTCTGTGCTGCCACGGAGCGCCTGTATTTATAACAAGAAGCAAATGTGCTTTTGGGATCTGTTTATCTGTGTAGACATGGAAACTGTAGTGCAATAGCCTTCTTAATACTATGCTACTAAATCCTTAGAGAGAGAATGAGCGCCCATTAATCCAATGCTGGGCCGTGATAAAGCAGACTCTAGGCTCATTAACTCTCCCGGATCCAGAAGGTCAAATTTAATTTCCTTACAATTTCCGTGATACGAAATGCATATATTTCAAGCTCATGTAGTTGTTTCTATAATCACCATCAAGCTTTATATTCAAATGCATTCATTTTCACGTATAAAAACTTAGCTCAGAGAGCTTTACAAGGTTCAGGCACTGTCAGTACTAATTATAAGGTAAATATCAAATGGTCCGTCTAGAAAATTATTTGTCGGTCTAAACACTATTATCTAATAATTTTCTAATTCATGTGTATTTCATTCTTCAGTTGCAAGTGTTTTTCCAGTCACCGAATATATTATAACCACCAATAAATGCCGTCTTAATCTTATGATTCCATACACGGCTTCGGCATCTCATATTTCATTGAACAATAATATTATTTGAAGCAGATTCTCACTGCGGTAAATCAGTACAATTTATCGGGTTAAAAATGCCGAACGTTGAGACTTACATTTATAACGATGAAAATTAATATAAATCAAAGAAAATTTTGAAACAAGGCTTATTAAATGAATTTCTATATTTTTTCAATACCGATCATATTCACTAAATTTATCGAACCATTGATTAATAAAAGGTAAATTCACCTACAGCACCCGATGACGAGTGTGAAGACACAAAAAAACAACACCGGCTATGAGGTTATTGATGGAGGAGAGCCTCAAGGGTTCCAATAATTTTGCTTACAACCCCGCAGAACTTGCTGTCAAATTTCGATCAAAGACCTGAACCGGCGAACAAGAAATTTGAACCTGAACTTAGACTTCTGACAAAAACTTGTTTTCTTCTCCTTTTTAAGCCTTGTTTACAAGTACAAAATGGTATTTTAAGGAACAATTATGTCGGACGAGACGAGGTGTAGGGATATTTACGATATTGGGTGTAGTCTTCAAAGCGCGAGTAAGTTCAAGCTTTGCGGAGCTCAACTGTAGTCGCTTCGTTGCCCGCCTGAAGCGCACGTAGACGCTGCACAGATGGGCGGTGAGGCGCTTGACGCTCGTGTGTTACCTCTAGCGTAAACGGGCCTTTAATAAGGTTTTGGCCCCATCCGGCATTTGGCAAAAATGATGAAGCAATTTTTTGAAGTTGAATTCGTAGAAACATTTGTCAAATATTCATCGGACACGCGTGTCTATAAACAGAAAAACAAAGAATAGCGTAATACAGACCCGAGGAGGCCAAAGTGGCTGGGTACGGCTAAGATGCTGCGACGTCTGATGTGCCTAAAAAGCAGTCGAATGACGTTCTGTGTGACTGTGGCTAGTGATTGCGGTAGTGGTAATTACTGACAACCAGCCTCGTAGGGAGGAAAAGTAAGATTTCTTCCTGCTAGGACGAAGCAAGGCTGTTTCAGAGCGACGGGCAATAGCAAGTGAAACCTGCCAAGAGATCTGACAAGCCGATACTGATTCGAGATATGAGAGACCTGCCACGAGATCAATTAATCTGACCTCACTACGAGACAGTGAGACCTGCCAAGACGTCTGACAAACAGCCCTCGCTATACAAGAAGAGGGAGACCTGCCAAGAGATCCGACAAACTGACCTCGATACGAGATGAGTGAGACCTGTCAAGATATCCGACAAGCTGACCTAACTACGAGAAAAGTAAGATCTGCTAAGAAATGCGACAAGCCGACCTCGCTACGAGATGAGGGAGACCTGCCAAGAGATTCGACAAGCCGAGATCGGTACGAGATATGCCAGCCCTGCCAAGAGATCCGGCAGTCTGACCACACAACGAGATAAGCGAGACTTGTCAAGATATCCGACAAACTGACTTAACTGTGAGAAAAGGAGACCTGCCACGAAATACGACAATCCGACCTCACTATGAGATAAGCATCCACCGAGCCAATGATCGACCGGCCGACGACATCGAGCGATACAAGCCGCAATAAGCTGGGAACAATACAGTAAGAAGGTCTCAGAGCAAGGAGAAGGGAAGCCTTGTTTCCACCGCCGCGCGTACACGTAGGAGTAACGTTGTTGCCTTCTCTGGGGACAGCCTTCTCACGCCGTAGCTCACTGGACGGGCTCCGTTGTTAGGGGAAGCCCCATATGGGCATCAGCGGGGAATAATATTGTGTCGGTGCTTGACACACAAATCAGTTGTCTGTAAAATGTTCCATGGGTTTTCATGCCCCTTCTAATTTTAACCGTCAAAAAAGAAACGAGAACATTTTTACGCGTCACATAGGCCAGCTCGAGCCAATTTTGAACTTGACGTGAAAGCGTCAAAGTCCCGAGGTATCATGTGTTGTATGTACTCTTAAACTAATCATAATATGGAAGGAAAGTACTCCTCTTCTAATCAATAAAAGTTGCTGAGTATTGATATTTTTGCTCGTGTATACGCGTAAATTGCTGGCCTTTCCAGCTGCATATAAGATCGATCTGCAATCACATATGACGAGTGAGTCTTAGAAAAAAATATCGTTATGGCACAGCACATTTTCCACACGACAGTTCAAATAAATTATGAAAAACGTTAATAAGAGTTAATGGTTTTCATATGTATCAAAGCGATTAAAAATTTCAAAATTCGTGGTAAACCTCGTTTATTATATTTGAAATCCAGACACAGGAGAACACGAATGATATTCTGTTCCCTTTTGCAACATTTTACAACGAACAGAAACGGACAGGAAACATGAATATCGGTCCCATCGGATTTCTTCAATGCAGTTAGAATTGAAACGGCGCATACTGGCATCACGGTGTCTATGTCTGTCATAAGATAGCGTAGTTAATTACAAGTAAGCAGCCATCCGTCAAATATGTACGAGTCACATGGTGTCTTGGAGTTCAATCATACCGTGAGTCCTCTCGTCTTTTGAAAACATAATGTCGAAAAAAGTAACCAAGCAATCGGTAATGAAATATGTTACCGATATACATTATATTATTGCTATCGTATTTTTTACTCAATTATAATCGCTCATAAACAGAACACCACTGGTCAGGTTGAACGAAGTCTCTAATGTTACACGCGTAACTGCTGCGGTCTTTGAGGTCCGATGGGAATTTCGAACGAGTCATTCCCAGGCTGTGTCTTCCACTGCATGATGAATACCAAATAATTTAATGGATATAAGGAACTAATTCGACAATTTCGGCAATATATACATGAACTTGATGTTAAAGTGTATATATAACAGTATTAAAACAGTGAACTTGATGTTAAAGCGTATTATTGCTTCAAGCTGGAAATTATAGCTCAATCTGGTTCTGGAACGGCGACTTAGAGGCAAACTTTTCCTCGGGGATATAAATATGTGAATGATTCCATTTCTAATTACTGAGCTAATAAGTGAGGTAAAGGATTACGGTCTCGATAGATTCCAGAACTTATATTTCTAAATGTCCAGAGCTACAGAGCATTTGGGTTTCGAAAACGTGATAGGTAGTTTCGGTCAAGAATATATTGATGTAAATATTTTGTACATTTAGAGATAGTGAGCGGAAAACCCAGGATAACTTTGATTAAAACATCACTTTCACTGCGACTTCCACGCTAATATTTTCAGTACAATCAATGCCCTAAGCAACGCTGATTAGAACGATTGGTGAAATGTCAGCTTTGGTGACGTTTACGTTACTAAAGTTACCGTTGTCATTGCAGAGAATATTGATAAGTATACGGTCACTACACCCTTGTGAGGTGGTAGCACACTAGTAAAAAGGATGAAATATACATTATTCAAGTCGTAATAAATATCAATCATTTTATAGCAAACCAGGATAATTGTACCTGTTGCTCACAAAGTCTGTTCGTACTTATCGTACAAACAAACGAGAGCTTCTGTTGTACAGCAACATCAATTTTTCATATGCGGTATACATAAGCCTGAGTTTCCTAAATCTTATTTGCTATGATCTCTGTTAAGGAAACTCATATCGCGTATGAGAATTGTATTTCTTTCTATTTTCATTACGAGTCTTTTACAAGAACCAAGTGAATCATGCATAAAAATTCCTAACTTTCAAAAGAATGCCAGGTGTGAAATATCGACGAAGACGAGTGCAGGTGTTTCGCATATGGTATAGGGACAGCAATACTTCAATTGATGTCTCACTCTCTTCGTGTTAAGTGAAGCCGTAAGGAGCTGCAGTGCCTTGATATTTTACTTGCGTGTATACTCGTAAATCGTTAACGTTTTGAGCTGAATAAGCTCAATCTTACATCAGAGAACGACGAGTGAGCCGTGAAAAACTTGAGGTAGCCAGCAAATTTTTCGTGTGAGTAATCAAATAAATTACACAAAGTGGTATTGTGAGGAAATGGTTTTCATACATTCCAACATAACATAACATAACATAACGNTTTGAACAAGGCACGAAAAGGAAAATTATCTTCGACAGGCCACATCAGGCCTACCCTTCTGCCCCAACATCGCTGTGTTATATTATGTTATAAACTAACAAGTCATTTTCCTCTATTGATTTCTCAATAATTACTCTCTTGTTGCAACCATGTCTTCTCATACTGTATCGAGCACACTCTGGACACAACTTCTGACAGGGTGTTTATAAACGCAACAAATAAAACAGGATCGAGAACGCTTCCTTATGAGATGTCACTGCCCACTGAAGCCCAGTCTGATACGGCCCCGTTAATACTGACGCGTTGCCGTCTACCTACTAGAAAATCTTTGATCCATTGGAGTATATTTCCCGCTATTCCCAAAGGCTTCACTTCACGCAACAGCCGCTCATGCGGAACACTGTCAAATGCTTTGACAAAATCGAGGAATACATACACTGCAAGCACTGGTTTCATTTCGTCAAGCAGGATAGTCCCATCATTCAACGTAGACAAGAGGTTAATGGTTCAGGATCTACCGGCGACAAAGTCATGATGACAGTCTTATAAGGAAAGGTCAACAGTCCAATGATCGATCAGCCTATCCTTCACAACAGAATCTATTACCTTACAATCAAAACTTATATAAGACTAACAGGGCGATAGTGGCCCGGGCTACATTTGTCACATTGTTTGAACGTTGGTGACTATTGAGCTTCTTTCCACTTGGCAGGCAAGGTCCCTTCGTTCAAGGTGCTTCGAAAAATACAGCCAAAGAGAGGACTAAGACGGTTGCTAATTTTTTTTCGGTAATCAGAGGTGAAAGCCGCCAGGTCCGTTTAACGTGTATCATTCCTGTATATCATATTCATAACTTTCAACTACGAGCTCACTGGGCGCTCCTCGATCGGTATAGTTGGAATACTGTTCAAGTCCTTATCTGTAAAGACGTTACTAAATAATAAAGAACGTTAGGATTGCTTTCGTCAGAGGGTATATTTTGCTGATCTAATTTCAAATCAGAGATACAATCGTTCGTCTCGCACTTCAACCAGCGTACAAAAAGTAGGCTCTCGGGTTTTGTTCTGATTTTTTGCCATATATTTTTCAATATTTTCACTGCGTTGCGACGACTTTCTTTAGTTTTGTTTCGAGCTCCTGCGAATAAGTTATGATCAGCAACATCTCGAATCTGGAGATAAAGCTAGCAGGTTTCTTTTTTATCTTTATCATAGCTACTTCAGGGGGTTTTATATAGTCGCCTTTTGCAAGGTATAAACGCTCACGCTTCCAAAACGCCGCTTTTATGTAGCAACTAATCATGAAAAACAATTATTGGTGGTGGCTTATGTCCAACAAAGCCGATCGTGTCAAAGCTCATCCAACATCGATTTATCACTAGTAAACATTAGGTATAAACCATTGGGAGTTAATTCGCCTAGTTAGTCAAATTAGAAATCGGGAACTGTAGGTTGTTGGGAGAATAGCTGGAGAGTCAGTTGAAAGAGACACGTGGCGCCGAATACAGAGATTCCTATAGCATCCTGATACGCTATCCTTTTACGTTTCCAGTGTTCCGAACGATTTAATCAACAAGCTTTAATCCTAGATGAACTTACGTTACACCAATTAGTACCCAACTGTATAAACCTTGTTAACTTGCTTTCTGAATAAAATTATGAACTGGAACGCTTACAAGTGCCATTTATAAATCCAGTGTTATCAAACAAACAACGCAATCAGTTTACGAACGATCACAATAGGCCTATCTGCAGTGCCCCAGCTGATGCGGCAGCTGAAAGGCCCGACAGTCTCTCACAGACTACACGAACAATGATGCCGGGTGATTTGCATTCCTTGGAGATAAACCATCTGTCCAGTCTACTTGTGGATGGCTAAAGTCACCAACGATCAATGTATGCGACCTAATGGAAGTCATGCTCGGCGAAAGGTTGTTTATTACTTTATCATTGTCAAAAGAACTGTTTGGTGATCTATACACAACCCCTATATGAAGAGGCAGTCATTTAGAGAAAGCTCGTACCACACAAATTTTTAAGAACCACCAGGTTGTCCTGCACTTTTAGATATATACAGTCAATTTCTTTTATAAAGAAATTGACTGTCTCTAAGATAACATATTATGAAATCATTTATATTATCTCCCAAATTAACAACCTACCATTTTTTTCAAAATAGTACAGTAAATAGATCAAAGGCTTAACTACCTTTGTAGCATTTCCTGACGTTTTTTCATCTTATTTCAGGGTTCAAGATTTCAAGAGGTTTGTGAAAACCTGAACGTCATGGAAAGGTGCAAGGGACTATTTCAATCTCTTGTTGTTGCCCTCCGAAGCCGATGGCGCTCCTTAGCGCGCTGTGCGGTGGCTGTTGTCTCTCTCCGACTACTGCTGCTACTGGGGATGCTTTCACAAGACACCGGTTATTTGAGTAGTAATGTTGACGAAAGATTTTTGCATCAAGGAAACAATGTGAATGGCAACATCCTCATCGATCTAACCAATTTTGAGTACCTTCAAAATCCAAGAATTTGTAATGGCTCAGCTGAAGATGTGTTGGCACTTGTTTTGGTTCTCTCACATCCTAGTCACATTAATCACAGAAAGGTGCTTCGAGAACAAATGCCTCAGGAAATTTTGGCGGAAATTGGTATGAGACGAGTTTTTCTAATAGGCGATCCAAATGTAAGCCAAAAAAAAACACCCGCGGGTTCATCAGAGCAAAATTGATGAGGAAAATAACAAGTTTAATGATATTGTCCAAGGCAATTTCCTGGATCACTATCGCAATCTCACCTACAAGACCGTCATGGGCCTGACTTGGGCTACGCGCTTTTGCTCTCGTGCGGCGTTCATAATCAAGATGGATGATGACATAACAGTGAATTTTTTTCACGTACGACAACTTTTGCAAACCAGGTACGCTAACATAAAAAACGTTCTATTAGGAAGAGCTCTAATTAAGACGAAGCCTTTTAGAAGAAACAGCAAATGGCAGGTAACGCAAGAGGAATATGTTGGTGATGAATACCCCACCTATATAAACGGATGGTTCTACATGATACCAATGGAAACTGTTCGGAAACTGGTAGCAAACGCTCACAGATTTCGATATTTTTGGCTTGAAGACGTCTTTGTAACTGGGATAATGGCGCAAGACCTGCAAATAGAACGGCGAAACATTGACACCAAGAAGTTTGTCACGTGCTTTCGTGGAAAAAGCGCCCACAAGATAAGGAGTTTCTTGTGAGTATTATTGCAATGTTATTGGTGTCCCATTGAAAAACTTTATGATTTATTCACTTGGAATTTAATGGACCAGTACGAAGACTTCAATTTATATTGAAAAAATAAATAGTGGCTTGGCAGGGAATGGTATCAATTTTTTAATAGATTTCTTTATTTATTCATTTTATTGCATACAACAAATATTTCTGTGCGGAAGCCCAGTCAAAAGCCAAAATAAGGGTAACAGTGAGGCCATTTTCAAAAAGCTTTCTGATCTGAAAGAAGTATTGCAAGAATAAGCAGGCATTTACCTATTTACATGCCATTTGATAAAGAAACACAATTTGAGTTGAAACCTCAAAGAAGACTTTGCTGTTGATAACTTTGGGGTTGTTAAATAGAATGAACAGAAATACACTGACATACTTATCGCATTATCTGAAGGACCTTCATTTAAATGCATGGAAAGAAACTCAAGGTTTCGTGCTGGCCAGAGAAACAAGATTACTTGTATGACTTACGACTGGGCGGATGTTCGTCAGAAGATAGTTCCTCCAAAATAGCTTCAAAGAGGAGCCTGTTCTATGTACCAGAACTTAGCAACCATGTGTAATGTAATATTTCGTGTTAAACATTTTACATACAATGTTTTTCACTAAAATGACATTTGTTTCATTAATCACATTTCTGAACATTTTATGTAAACTTTGGCAATAAAAGAGGGAAAAGGCAAAAAATTAGTCTATCTAGTAGTATTTTTATCTGGTCTAAAGTATGGTGGCAAAGTTTCATTAGCCAAAAAATTAAAGTAACTAATGATAATACTACGAAGTGAATGTGAGGTCTCAATGTGGATTCAATTTATTGATTAAAAAATTTGTTTACTCACTAAGATTCATCAAAAATAAACGAGGTGTCCCGCTCTCTTCGTTTTAAGTAAGATCACAGACTGATCAGTGTCCGGGAATTCTAATTCCATTAAAGATTAGGTTCAGGGAACTGACAACTATATATATACAGAGGTTGTCTGCTCGTAGTCTATATATAAGGCAAGAGGTGACGACGATGGGTGGTTTCTAGAAACGCACGGCCTTAAAGGCCCGTTCACACTAGGGGCAACACACGGGAGTCAAGCTCCTCACCGCCCCTCTGCGCAGCGTCTACATGCGCTTCTTTTGGGCAACGAACCGATTGACAAGCTAGCGATTGACAGGGGCCATGCCTCATGCAACACAAGCGCGGCACTTGGTCGATAGCTGCCTGTGGTCTAGTGAGGTTGATTGCGTACGCTGGTCCGTCACACCAAAGGTCGACTAACACCACACTCGTTTGGAGTCACTCTCTAGTAGAGAGCCTAATTGATCTTTATAGAGAACATGAATGCCTATGGAGTGTTCGGTCAGAGGTACAAAAATCGAAATGAAAATGATGTAAGTTATTTCTTACATGACGTGTTTAGTTTATGTCATTTTAGCTACTCCTGACAATTTTTGCATTACCGTTTAGCGATTTGAAAGGATGATATAATATTGGTACGAATATTGGCACTATATTTTTTCATAAACTGTATTTTTTAATGTGTTTGTTTTCTAATTATGATGACTATGCTTAATTCTCGTTTACAACTGGCATAGTACGAAGAATGACGGACTTCGTGTTTATTACAACAAAAATATCTCGCCGCATAGCATTTGATAATAAATAGAGATGGATTCAACGGCCACAAACAATTACAATGTATACTTTTCTTAACCGCAGCACACGTGAGAACAATGGCCCACAGCTCAAATTCGGTACCATCCATCCTCACTGACGTCTAGGTGGCAACTAGTGTTCACCACAGCTCTCGGTCTCGAGCTACCGCTTACAAAAGGGAGCGCAACCGTGGGTAACAAAATTGACTCGTAAACCGGCCCTGGGCCCAACGCCAACCATCAGCATGCAATATCTACACATAGCCTCAGATCAATGAGCTGTGGGTAACTCCAGCTTACAGTAAATCCGATTTGTACAACACAACCACTACTTCACAGCGCCGGAGCACAACTGGCCGGAGCGCAACAGGCCCTACCGCAACAGAGGCGCAGCCTCGCAGATTAGGTTAGGTTACATTAGGAGTAGCCTGTTGCGGTAGGGCCTGTTGCGCTCCGGCCTGTTGTGCTCCGGCCTGTATGTGCTCCGGCCTGTGACTGAACGGCGCTGTTATGGTGGGCGCTTTGTATCAAAAGCCGTGAAGATGCCCGGCTGCGTTACGCTCGGGAAGGTATATGAATCGCACTGTGGACTTGGGCTATGCTGACCTCTAGCTATCCACCCGTACAAAAGTAGTGTGCACGGTTGTGCGCGGTGAGGCACTGCTGCAAACGCCTCACCGCGCATGTCGTTGACCCTAATGTAAACGGGCCTTAAAAATCAGTCGAATGACGTTCTGTGTGACTGTGGCTAGTGATTGCGCTAGTGGTAGTTACTGACAACCATGCAGCCTCGTAGGGAGGAAAAGTAAGATTTCTTCCTGCTAGGACGAAGCAAGGCTGTTTCAGAGCGACGGGCAATAGCAAGTGAAACCTGCCAAGAAAAGATCTAGAATATTTGGGGTCTGTTTACCCCTAAAATGGGTTGGCTTGGTGATGTTCTGGATTAAAACATGATTACAAATTTGAAAATGGTTGGCGGATTTTTATTTATTATAATTAAAATCAAACTACTGAACAACGCGAATAATTTTTCGGTTCCTATTGTAACATTTTACAAATAAGACTGTAGAAATGGACAGTAGACATGAATATTAGGCCCATCAGAAGTCAGATTATCAAGACACTCCTAAATACAGGTAGCGGCTTTACGTGTTGCCTATAAGTACTGTTTAGTATACGTAACTGCTAACAGTGATATTATCAGAACATTTCGGCGCAAAGTTACGTCTAGGAGTGATACGTAATTTTACGCCAGCTCTGAGGACACGTAAGTCGATTTACGCACAACTTTTGAGTGGGGTGAAGCGATAAGAAATCATTGATTTATCAAAAATGCGGTGAATCGTGAAGGATTTTTGTTGATAATTTAATAAAGAAATTGTACATGTGCTATTAGTGAACAAATTTCTGTCGTGTTTATATCAGAAACTACCTACTACAATTCTTGTAACATTCTTTATGGAAATGAAAAGCAAATGTCAATTTTGAAAGAAAACTCTGATGATCAAAATCATATCTCTATTGACTAAAATCCGTACCCGGATCAAGTGACTAAAACCCGTACCCGCACCGATCTGCCGGACCTGAATCACGAAAAAAATGTAAGGCGGTAAATCATCTGAAACGTCGAGAAAACTTGAAATTATGCATACAAAATTTTCAAACTTTACGTCCGGCCTTCTCCTCACATTAGGGTTTCAGGAAAGTTCATTTCTCGATCGAACCAATCGATAGTAAATGCTCTGTAACGTCCAAAAAGAATTAAAACATTTTTACCCTTGCTTCTTGTTTTATTTCTATACTTTGATTGGGTAAATGAATAAACAACTGCGGTACAAGTGTTTTATATTTTTTGGAGGTTTCAAAACATCATTCGACTTGTTCGATCGAAAATGCATTTTTTTTTAGCCTGATTACACAGGTCCAGAAGCGCCGCATCATTTTGGGGTTCGCTGCACCTGACATGAAATTTTCCAAGTAAATAGAAAAAATTATGTTTAAATGTTTGTTTTCTTGACGTTTCAGAGCCTTTTCTATCGATTAATATAGTTCGCTCGAAAATTTATTTTTCTTGAGACCCTGATGTGCTGGTCAGTCGAAATTTTTCTACGTAAATTTGAAAATCATATATCTTTAAAATTTCACGTTTTCTCGACGCTTCAGTTGATTTGCATCATTTTATTTTTCATTATCCTAGCCCGGTGGATCTGTCCGAGTCGATCGGGGTTCTAGATTTTAATTAAAATAACAAGGAGCTTGACCAGTCAAGAACTGTTTCCAATTGCAAATGATGAAAGATTGAGATATCTTAGTAACTATCAAAACTATTTGGATTCAAAGACACAAAATTTGAAATAAGCTCCCTATTAAAACCCATGTCTGAAATATATATTCTGCATTCTAATTAATAAAAAATGCATTTGTCTAAAAAAAGTATTTGCAATATTGAAAGAAAACTTGAAAATTTTGTAATTTACTAAATGAGCAGATTTTTCATGATCTACACCAAAGTAAGCAGGTAGCTCTCAAAATAATTAGATAAAATCATGTATTTATTTAAAGCATTATGGCCAAATAAGTGTCTTTTACATGAACCTGTAAATGAAATAAATTTTAAACCTTTTGTAAACATAATTATGATTTCATATATTATTACGAAAATATTTTTCAAACATTACATCATTTGTGATAATAAATAGAACCAAAATTTGTAATATTTAAAGAAATTGTCTGACTCATAACATAACATAGACGGCACTGAAGAAATAGGCCATGGCCTGTTGCCGATTCACGGACATTTCGTAGCTTGCTCAGAGATAAAAAAAAAACGGGCTTTTGACCAGATCTTTTCAAACTGGCATTGGTCTAAACTAGCTACTAAACTTTTGCTAGGTTCGTAAGGGGCTAGGCATTTCAAGTCTGAACAGTTGCTTCTTCACAACTTAGTCTAGTTTGTTCGTGAACGCGTTCATACTCAGAGCGTCAACGATGCTATCAGGGAGGCTGTTCCACGTGTCGGTGACTCGAAGCGAGAAGAAATATTATCGCATGGAGGAGATGCACCGCAGCTTTTTTGTTTTAACGTGGCCCCTGGTGCTGGTTCTTGTTTCAAATTCTAGTAATCCTTCTGAGACCTTGTGTTAATCATGCACGAGTATACTTGTATTCCTCAATGAGGTCACCACGCAGACATCGGTAACAGTTGCTTGGAAGCTTCATAATCTATTAACCTTTCTTCCAAAGCCTTGCCCTTTAAGCCTGGAATTGCACTTTTTGACCACTCTCGACAAATTCTTCTCTTTTCAAGTTTTGGTGACAACACGGTCCT